TTTAGCAGTTTGTATCTTTTATGTGTAGGGGATTCTGATCTGGTTTATGGCTTTAGCCGGTTCTTTCTTGAAACAAGCTTTTGTTTTTTATGTTTTCTTTCCATCTGCCTAAAAGCCTAAAAACCTGCTTACTTCTCTCTTTACTCTTCTCTCTCAGTACAGCTAAATATGTTAAACTATGTTTGTTGCTGTACCTAGTTCTGAAAGTGGCCACTTTTCTTTTGGGAAATGATGAAAATGCTTGCTTGCATATCACTTTTCTCTGCATATTTTATCTCTTTTCTTTGACAGCTTGATATCTTTCCAAAATCTTCTTTATTGACAGCCTGGATACCTTTGTGCAGTAACTTGTACCTTTTGGCATTTTTGATAGAAAGTTGCAATTTGATTTTTAGTTGGGTTTGAACTGTGCAGTTTGTTTGAGATTTTTGAATTTTGCAATGTGTTGACAAACTTTGCATTTTTCCAACTTTGCATTCATGATTTAGCAAATAAAATTCTTCCCTCTTTGTGAACCGGGAGAAATCCCGTGATTTGCAGAGAGGGTTAACTGATCCCAATCAGTGGCCCTTAATGATGACTGTAATTTTATCTGTCTTTTCAATTCAATTTAACTGTTATTTGACTTTTCTCTTTTCCTCTTGCAGATGAATAATTGAATGGAGAGGGGCACTAAATGAAGACTGAAGAATTAGAAAAAATAGGATAGTTTTCTTTTTATTCAAATTTAAATTAATGTAAAACCATTGTTTGTAATTAAATTATAAATAATAATTGTACAAATAATTCAAGAATCAATAAAAGTCTTTATTATCCAATCAATTCTATTTCCTCCTTCTTTATTGTTTATCTATTATTTAAAACTCTTTGAATTAAAATAATTGAAAAATAAATTTCAATCACTTAATTTAGAATAATAAATAATTTAAATAAACAATGCTTTAATAATTGATTAATTAACCCTGGCCTTTCCAATATCCAAAGCAAAGCAACAGTTAACCAAAACAAACTAATCAGGCGCATTCCTTCTTCCCTGACTTTTTACCAAGCACTGTAAATCCAAATTGCGTATATCTTTTGACTGGTTCAATCAAACGAACGTGAATTCAAACCAACTGCCTTCTTTTACTGATTAAATCAAACAATTCAGATTCAAACCAAATCTCGGAATGTCTTGCAAAGTGCTGTAGAATTTAAATCCTTCTGAGAACGTGCCCACAAAAACCTTAATTCCTGATTAAATGCCAAATAACGTTTGCCTGATCAAAATTGAGTCAAAGTCAACCAAAACCCTAAGCCAACTGTGTGAAACAATCCAGAGCCCTGAAAGATCAATAAAAACCCTAATTGCGCAAAAGTCTGTTTGACCGATTCTTGAGCCAGTTTGAAAGATCATGGAAATCCTGAAGTTGTTATTTCTTGTGGAAAAATGCGAGGGCAAATTTTGGGGTACAACACCTGACATAGGCCTCCTCGTCCTCTTCGTCCATGAGGCCCTCCGTGATGAGGTAATAATTCAGGAGGTGGTCGAAGTGAGTCTCCACCTAGTGGAAGGGGAACTTGGAGACCAACTCCGTCTCCACGGTCTCGTCTTCCTCGTAAAGCATATTGTTATCTTCTTCGACCACAACCACCTCCTTCAACGCATAATCAAAGGCCTCTTTTGACACGGGCTTGACGAGGAAGTACCTATCTTTGAAGTCGCGAACAGACTCCAGGAACATCTTGAAGAGTTTCTTCTTCGACTGCTTCAGAGAAACCCAACCATGTTTTCCCTCCACAGTTTGTCGCTGAAGTCGAAATCATCAAAATAAAAGGGGAATCGTGGCACCAACCTGAAGGTATCGACACATTATCTCAAACACCATTATGAAGGCCATTACGTTCGGGTGAAACTGAGAAGGCACTAATGACGAGTGCCCGAAGACCGTGATCAGGAAGTCACTGAAGGGCAGCCACAACCCTAGTTCTTTGAAAACGAATTCATACGTTGGGATACAATTGTTCTTGTAAAACGAGCATATCCTTTTGCTCGCAGTAGGTTTAACGACTCTCCAATGTCTTTCAGCATCGGGATTATCAGGTAAGTCCTCGACATTGGTAAATGCGTCAACCAAAGACACAGAGTAGCGAGATGCTATGCATAGTAGAAACCCAAGTCAGTTGGGGATCAGTGATCAAATAAACTATCCAGACATTCTCCACAAGTTCAGTCGTTTGGTCCTCCTCGACATGCCCAGCCATATGAACATCCATGACAGGATCAACCACATCACATGAAAAGCAGAGGATTAACGTGATTTCAATGGTCAAATCAAATTCACCCTTCCACCACAAGTCAAGTGAAATGGTGCACCATGGGACGAGGATATAATCACTGACCAAGCCCCTGCTCGAGCTCTCGAAAGGAAATCAAAACTACCCCTTGGCCAAGGGTGCGATCTGAATCGGCTGGACAAGCAAAGGTAAAAAATTTACGCACGGAGAAATCCTCCCTGACTAATAAATCACACGAGGGACTCATGTTTCTCCCGGGGAACACATGAATCTCTTGAGGAGAAAACATGAATATTTTTTGCGAAATCATGAATCTCCTAGGGTACGCATAAATCTCCCGAGGAGAAGCATAGATATCGCAGGCGAAAACACAAATTTCATGGGGAACACATGAATCCCGTGGGGAAAAACAGTAAAATCTATGAATTTCACAGGGAGAACCTTCCCAGAATAGAAAATTTGTACATAACATGCATGTTTCAAAGATTAAATGGACTATAGAGAAAGGGAAAGCACTTACTTGGCTGAGGATTCATTATGGAAAGTACGACGGCGACTACGGCGACTGGATGTAAATTGAAGGAAGATAGGCGAGAGGGAGAGCAAGTGTTGCGAAATTAAAAAAATGAATCCTTAAACCCCTATTTATAAACCCTGCACAAAAGATGAAACGTCACCTTGACACGCAGGCGTCCACGTGCCCAGGTCATAATGACCCATACGCCTAGGCCATAAGTACACATGAAATGCGGTGGCACGTGGCCCAATAAGCAGACATCGACCGAAACTCTTCATCTCCCTGGATGACGGGCATGGAAAACCCTCACTACGGGCACACCACAAAGGCCCGACCGTAATACTTAGACATGATCCCCTCTTTACAGGAAGATTGTTAATCTGGACGATCATTTCCCCTCTATGAGGAAGATCGTTAATCTGGATGGTCATTTCCCCTCTGCGAGGAAGATTGTTGATCTGGATGATTGTTTTCCCCTTCTACGAGGAAGATTGTTAATCTAGACGAACACATTCTCCCTTCTGCATACGCTGGACTGAAAGCCGATGCCCGAGTGATCAATGACCATGCTCGGGTCAACCGTCAAAGACACGAGGAAAGCCACAAAGATCCTCGTCATCACTATCTTCTTGACACTCGAGCTGACCTTAAAGTCATAACTCTTCTACTTAAGAGCAACAACTTAGGGCTCCTGTTCTAGACTGGGCTGTCGCTTAATCTACCATCAGGAAAGGCCTAGCTCAATGCAGCTAGAGGCCCAATAACCTGTTGGGGACCAGACATGCACTTGGTCCCTAGTCGAACAAGTCCATCGCAGTGAACCAAACGATAATAACCATCGAGGAGCATCTTCCATAAAGACTTGTCAAGGATCTCTCCTCCAAGGGCACGTCGAGGAACACTCCTCCATGTATGCCTCGAGGACTTCTCCCCCATGTTCCCACCAAGAGAACGTGGATAACGCCCCTCCGAATGTCACGCAGTTATCCTGCTCTTGAAAAGAACAGGTCTTCACCCCTGAGAATCGTGGAGCAGTTAAACTAGGATAGGGACCACGAACTGGCCCATCTACACATGTATAATCCTGACAGTCTCCATTATAGGCCTGGGCATCTAGCCTAAGTGAAGACCTTGGCCCAACGCTTGGGACTATAAATATCCTCTTTCACTAGAGGGTCAGGTACATTATTCTACACTCTTTTAATACTTGTACTTTGCTCTGAACTTCACTTTGGCATCAGAGTGTCTTGCAGGTATCCCCCCACTTAACTCTCAATCGCCGTCCGTCAGAGTCTCGTAGGCCATCGGCGATCCATTCTGATCAGGTACGATCGCTACTAAAAGATATTTTTGTTATATGATTTGATCTATAACAATGCGACGTTTTTTCAATGGTTGACTTATGGAAATGCGCTTAAACCTCGTTTTACACAATTAATCGTTAAGAGCTACATGAATTGGGAAAGCAAATAATTGAATGTAGATGTAAAGATAATTTCTTTTTGGTGCAGGATCAAACGATTAGGATTGTTGTCGAGCTCTATAAAACCCACAAACTGACGAAGTTCCTTGAAAATAAAGAGTTTATGCAATTTATTATTGAAAATACTTGAAAACGATAAGTAGTTATAAAATATTTTTTTTATATTAAATTTTTTTATCCGATATCTCACACGGATACACACATATATATATATATATATATATATATATATATATATATATATATATATATATATATATATATATATATATATATATATATATATATATATATATATATATATATATATATATATATATATATATATATATATATATATATATATATATATATATATATATATATATATATATATATATATATATATATATATATATATAATTTTGATAGAAATGCCTTTTACTAATATTTTATAGGTGTTATTAATTTTTATTTTCATTTTCCAAATCCTGTTTTATCCGATTAATTTTTTTGTAAACTAAGTTTAAAACATACAAATTCCTAATTTATTTTTTGATTTATTTAATAATTTAAAATGAAATTAATTATTAAAAATAAATTGAATAAAGAAAAAGACTAAAAAAAAAGGGGTGTTTATTTACCCTTAATAATAAATCTATTGCGGCCTCCTATTGCTACAATCTTTCAATTATATCTATCCCCGGCAGGTCGGTTACTGCTGCTCCTTGCCTGCGGAAAGCAATGGCGTCAGTCATCTCTCTCTCAAACGCAATCGGATTCTGTAGCAGCAAAAAACACAATACCCTCTCTTTCCGTTCAGAAGGAGGTACTTGAGTGTTTCTTTTCTCTTTAATTTTGAAATTGAGATTCCTCTTTAGTTTATGACAGAATTTGAATATGTAGTTGACATGAAGATTCTTTCGCGGCGGCACGGTTGTTCAAAAGTTGGAAATGGCCAAAGATGTGTTCGATTGTATGGCCTATTTGGAGGGAGAAAAGATAGTGATGACAAAAGTGATGACGAACCTTCTAAGGTTAGCGAACGTTGTTTTCTCTTTACTCCATTTTGTGTTTATGTTCATACCATTACTATTACTATTAGTTGACAAAACCGCTGTTAACGACTCTTTAGTCTTGACTCTGGACGGTAAGCAAGAGTGGATTATGATTGGTAACAAAAGTAAGACCAGTATTTGGATTCCTAATATTTTCATATTTATGCCCCTACTATTTTACTTTAATCTTGGATGTACTCCTAAAACACATTTGAGAGAGGTAGCACCGAAATGTATGCTTTTGCAAATGATAAGTCCTTCATGAAGAGTCAAAGGAGGATTTAAATGAGAGGTTAGAGATGAGCTGTAGAAATGACAATATTAGAGAGAATGTTGGGGTATCACCTATAGTTGAAAAGAGGGTGACAAATAGGTTTAAGGGGATTTGGGCGTGTAGAGTGAAGACTTGTAAATTTTGTTGTAAGAAGAGTAAATCGGATGAAGAGGAGTCAAACAATTAGAGGTAGATAAAGACTTAAATTGTTAGGTGAAATAAACTTGGCATTTGAATTTGTTCAATAAAGAAAACCATGTCCTTACATGTTTTAGAGATGTGAACTAAATCATAAGTTAGTTTTAAGGGAAGCCTTGAATATTGGATGAATTTTGTTTATCAAAGCTAAAAATATGTAAGTACTCATTAGTATAAATAGTTGTTATTAATTGTAATGATGTACTCATCAGAAAATAAAAACATTTATAAAGGAGAAAGCTCTAACGAGCTTGCGAGTTACAAAAAGTACTAATTGTTATTTTAACTTCATTAAGACAATTCAATTTATTTTGCCAACATTTGGTATAAGACCAAATGTTGGCAAAATAAATTGAGTTGTCTTAATGAAGTTAAAATAACAATTAGTACTTTTTGTAACTCGCAAGCTCGTTAGAGCTTTCTCCTTTATAAATGTTTTTATTTTCTGATGAGTACATCATTACAAGTAATAACAACTATTTATATTAATGAGTACTTGTATATTTTTAGCTTTGGTAAACAAAGTCCATCCAATATTTAAGGTTTCCCTTGAAACTAGCTTATGATTTAATTCACATCTCTAAAGCATGTAAGAACATGGTTTCCCTTATTAACCAAATTCAAATGTCAAGTTTATTTCATGTAACAACCTCCTTTAAATTTGGTTTTATCATTTCTAGCATATTCTTCATCTTCAAGAACAAGTTGGTTTTGAGTGACTTTGTAAAAATATCGATAATTTGATCTTCCGAAGTGCAATACTCTACCACAATTTCTTTATCTTTGATTAAGTCTCGAATGTAGTGATATTTGATGTCAATGTTTTTGCTACGCCCATGAAAGACTAGTTGCTTTGTCAACAATAGAGGCAGAGTACATAGCAGCAACAAATTGTGTTACTCAAGCAGTTTGGTTGCGGAGAATATTAAGTGAATTGTAGTATCAATAAGATGGTCCGACGAAGGTATTTTGCGACAACAAATGTTTTGACAAAGAATCCAATCTTTCATGAGGGACCTGTGCAAAGAAGGCCAAACCACTTTCAAAGAGGAAATAGTTCCAAAGGTAGAGGGAGGAATTCTCAAACTGACTTAAGTCAAAGCACTAGAAGTAATGGCTTTTTTCAAAGTAAATCTAATATTCAATGTCACAAATGTCAAAAGTACGACCATTTTCAATCAGAATGCATATGTCATTTTCAGTGCCTTAATTGTAAAAAGTATAGTCACTATGGTTGAGAATGCCATGCTAAAACATCGAATATTGGAGATAATCATGCTCGAGTTGCAGAAATTGAAGATGATATGAAAATGGTGGTTACAACATGTCATGTTGTAGCCGATAAAAATGACGACCAATGGTTGCTAGATACTGGTTGCGATAACCATGTAAGTGGGAATAAAGAACTACTTTCCAACTTAGATGAAAGTTTCCACAACATAGTCAAGCTCGGTGATAATTCAAAACTCAAGTTTTGGGAAAAGGAAAGATCGCCATCAAATTGAAGGATGGATCTTTGAATTATATTTTAGATGTATTCTATGTACCTAGTATATGTTATAATCTCTCAAGCGTTGGATAATTTGCTGAGAAAGGCTATGATTTAAACTTCAACAAAAGAGGTTGCACTATCAATGATGTTGAAATGGGTCTCATAGTAACGACAAACATATCAAGGAATCGTCTATTTCCAATGAACATCGAGTATGATGCTAATATGTGTTGCAAAGCTGTAGCTTTTGATGATAATTGGCTTTGGCACATGCACCAACAAGACCTGATATAGTTTATGGAGTTGAACTTATAAGTAGATTCATGGACTCGCCAAGACAATCACATTGGCAAGCTGTAAAGAGAATTTTGAGGTATGTCAAAAGAACAATTGATGAAGGAATTTTTTATTAAGTTCTACCAAGTCAGAGTTGATTGGATACACAGACAGTGGTTGGGCAGGTGAAACTGAAACTCGAAAAAGCACTTCGGGTTATGTTTTCCATCTCGGTACATGCGTGTTTTCTTGGTCCTCTAAGAAACAACAAGTAGTTGCTTTGTCAACATCAGAGATAGAGTACATAACAGCAATAAATTGTACTACTCAAGCAGTTTGGTTGCGGAGAATATTAAGTGAATTCCAGTATCAACAAGATGGTCCAACGAAGGTATTATGCGACGACAAATCAACAATTGCTCTAACAAAGAATTCAGTGTTTCATGGGCGTAGCAAACATATTGACATAAACATCACTACATTTGAGACTTAATAAGAGATAAAGAAATTGTGGTGGAGTATTGCACTTTGGAAGATCAAATTGCCGATATTTTTACAAAGCCACTCAAAACCAATTTATTCTTGAAGATGAAGAATATGTTGAGAATGTTAAAACCAAGTTTAAGGGAGGATGTTAGATGAAATAAACTTGGCATTTGAGTTTGGTCAATAAGGGAAACCATGTCCTTACCTGCTTTAGAGATGTGAATTAAATCATAAATTACTTTCAAGGGAAGCCTTGAATATTGGATGAACTTTATTTATCAAAGCTAAAAATATGCAAATACTCATTAGTATAAATAGTTGTTATTAATTGTAATGATGTACTCATAAAAATAAAATAAAAACATTTATAAAGAGAAAGCTCCAGCGAGCTTATGAGTTACGGAAAGTACCAATTATTATTTTAACTTCATTAAGGCAATTCAATTTATTTTGCCAACATAGCTAAATTACAAGAGAAATTATTAAAAAATATGAAAATTAACAAATTGAATAGAAACATGATATTGAATAGGACTTTATGGCAAAATTTAATCCATGTAGCCGGTCTCACTTATATAGTTTGATTGTTGTTGTTGTTAGCCTGCTTCCATTGCAATATCTACCAGCTCATCTTCCTTGTCTCAGATGAAAAACAAATTTTCTATAAGATCTGAATACCCTCATTTTGAGCAAGCAATGTCTTTTCCAAGGAAGGGCCTACTTTAATCTTCCAAGTTTCATTATTTCAAATTCCGCTGCCAGTTGCTACTTTAAGAGTTGTCTGTCATCTAAATTTCTTTTCCAAGGGCCTACTTTAACTTTAAGGTTGTCCTATGCATAGGGAGACTACATAACACACATATGGTCTGTTTTTTAAACAGAGACATTTTGTTTCTTCCACTTTGAGAATAATATCTCGAGGAATCTTCATATAAACTTCCTCTTCCTAGTCTTCAAGAGGGTAGACATTTTAAATGTCAAAATTGTTGCAGTTTCCCCTCGGTGAGAAATAAGAAAGGGTTAGATTATTACACTATACATTTTTGCTGCTGAAGCAAATGTTTTTTTTTTTTATGGTTGATTCCATTAGTCTTAGAGTCTACTCTTTAGCAAATATATAAAGAGAATTTTTCAAGAGTGTCTACCCTAAGTTTGAGCATTGTCATAGGCATCTCTCTTTTTACATATATAATCACTCTGAGGATCCCGTAGATATTTGGTAAAGATAGTAACTAATTGATTCTTTGAGCTCAATGAAAAGGTTTTAATGATGCCTTAAAAGAACTTTTCCACAATGAAGTGTCCGTCAACTTCTATGTGTTAAGTCCTCTCATGAAAAATTAGATTTAAAGAAAGATACAATGCCAAGTGATTATCATACATAAGTTCCATAGGACCTAGTTTACTAAATTTCAACTCTTGTAACAAATACTTCAACCATAAAAGTTCCCAGGTAGCATGGGCCATATCACGATACTCTGTCTCCTCCATACTTGACCTTGCACTGGGATATTGCTTTTCCATAAAATTACAATAATCTAAAGTAAACCTTCTATCATTCCGATCATCTGCCCAATCTGCATAATATTGGTATGACCACTCTGTCTCAATAAACAAGTGCTTTTTCAGGTGACCCTTTAATATACCTCAAGATCATAACCACAACATTCCAATGACTACCACAGGGTGAATTTAGAAATTGATTCACAACACTAACATCACACAAAGTATTTGGTCAAATTATAGTAAGATAATTTAGTTTTCCAACTAACCTACTCTATCTGTTTGGCTTGGTTATGGCTGTCTTTGATCATGTATAAGAAGCTTCACATTACGATCCATAGGAATATCATCTGATTTACAATTAAGCATCCCTGTCTCTTCCATTATATTTAGAATATATTTTATTGGAGAAACTACAATGTTTGTCTTTGATTGAGCTAATCGACCTAAATATTTGGTATGAAAGTGGTTGAACAAATGCTGGTTTAGGTCTTTAATGTCTTCTTGATCTTTACCAGTAATAACAATATCATCTTCACATATAGAAGGTAGTAAATGATTATATCCCAAGACGAACATTTAAAGAATATAAAATGATATGCTTCACAATGAATCATGCCAAAATGCTGAATAACCTTGCCGAATTTTACTAACCAAGCACGAGGTGATTGCTTTAGACCATATAATAATTTTTATGGCTTGCGTATAAGCCCATATCCCCATGAGGAACAAATTCAGGTGGTTGCTCCATATAAATATCCTTTTCTAAGTCTCCATACAGGAAGACATTTTTAATATCAAGTTAATAGTAAGGCCAATGTTTCATATCAGCCATTGATTAGAAAATGCAAACATAGGCCATATTTGTAAAAAGAGAGAAGGTATCACTATAGTCAAGACGATAAATCTGAGTGTATCCTTTTGCTATTAATTGAGCTTTCAAACGATTCACCTGTCAATCGGATCTACTTAAATAGCAAAGACCCACCAACAACCAACTGTAAGTTTGTCAGGTGCAAGTGGAACAGGCTTTTATGTACCACTGGACTCTAATGCTGTCATTTCATCATTCACTGGCCAATCTGGATGGGATAATGCTTCTTGGTAGCAGAAACAAATGCAAGAACTGAGATAATAGATATAGCAGAAACAAATGCATAGTTGGTTGGAGACAAGTGGTGATAACTAAAACAATTATAAATAGGGATACGAATTAGAAGTAGGGGTAATCTCTTGAATTAAATCGTGTCTGGAATTTTAACATGACGATGCCATAAGTAACACCATAATGACGCAACTCATGATTAATCTGTGACTGTGAAAGTCTTTGAGTAGAGACAAATTTTTCAAATAGAGGAATAGGTAGCATCTGGGGAGTAACATTGGTCACAAAATCTGACGTAGTTGATGTTGCCAAGAAAGCTGTATCCTCAAAGAAAGTAACATTTCCCAAGACATAAAAATGATATGTAGATTGGCAATAACACCGTATCCTTTTTGAACTTTGGAGTACCCAAAAACACACTTAACAACTCATGCATATAATTTATCACGACCACTACAAAGATCATGAATAAAACAAGTGGGTCCCAACACTTGAATATGGACAACCCCAACAGTATTGAGGATGAAATGCAATTGATCAAATAACAGGTCCTGAGGATAGCAAAACCCTAAAATTTTATAGTTGCATGAGCATTGACCAATAAGATTCGGGCTGTATCAACTAGATGACACCGACACCATTTTGATGTGGTTTGTGTGGACAACTAGACTGGTGCTTGATACAATGAGAAGCTATGAATGAGTTGAATGGTGCAGAAAAGCAGTCTTTGGCATTGACACTTAGCAAAATTCAAATCGTTCTCCCAAATTGAGTTTTATATTTGAGCAAAAATTCTTAAACGCATCTGTTGATATTTGTAAATATATAGTGTTAAGAATATTTATATGTAGAATAATCCCACATCGATTATATCATGTAATTAATTGTAATCTCTATATATAATAAAGTTTCCGTAGTGCTTTCAAAACACACGGTTTAACCTAAATCGAGAGTCTACTAAGAGACAAATCTTCACCGTACGCTATCCGGTTGATCCACTGTCTTCTGGTGAGAAATTTCCTTCTGCAAACCGTATCATCATTCCGGTTTGTCTCATCTTTTTTTTTAAATTTTTTTCCAGCGACCTCCGCCTCCGCCGCCGCACTCTTCACCAGGGAAAAATATATTTTTCGGGGCGCCACTGTTCACCGCCGCTGCCTCCCTCATCGTCGCGGCTACTGTTCACAAATTTTTTATTTTTTTATTTTTTACCGCAAAATCGCCGCCCTCGGTTTCCGTTTTCGACTCGCAAAAAGTTGTACTCTAGTTCAAACAACCCCGGTTGTTGTGTTTTAAGCCATATGAGATGCCGATTCTGTCTCGTTTACTAAAGTTCCGCTTATTCTATGTGAAAAACTAATCGGATCAACCAACTATAACATATGGGCTCGTGCTGTCGAGATGTGGTTTCACAGTCAGGGATATGAAGAGCATCTAACCACCCAATTGAGTGACGTTGCAGCCGCCAAACTCGCTAAATGGAAGAAAACTGATGTCTCTTTGTGTACTGTGTTGTGGTTTTCCATAGCACCTAACCTCCAAGCGCAGTACCAAGCATTCTCCACTTGTTATGAGGTGTGGCAAAAGGCCAAGAAAGTCTTTTCCAATGACGTTCATTCTCTATACAGTGTCATCCATCCATAAACTCAACACATTGAAGTTGAAAAATATGGATGTGCAAGCTTATCTGAGTAAGCTTGATGTCTTGAAAGCAAGTTACGCAAAAGATGACAGCTCATGCCGAACAACATAGTATAGGCCATGGCAAGGCAATGACAACATGTGAACTCATTTGGTTAAAACAGTTGTTCAAAGAACTTAAAATTGAAGAAGCAAGACCAGTGACACTTGTATGTAATAATGAAACTGCATTGCACATTGCTTCAAATCCAGTCTTCCATGAGATGACCAAACATATTGAGATAGACTGTCACTTTGCCAAGAGAGAAGATTGAATCTGGCGACGTCACAAGCTTTGTCAACTCTAATGATTAATTGTCCGAAGTGTTTACAAAATCTCTGCGAAGTCCCATAACTAATTATATATGTGACAAGTTTGGTGCGTTTGACTTATATGCTCCAGTTTGAGGGGGAGTGTTGATATTTGTAAATATATAGTGTTAAGAATATTTGTATGTAGAATAGTCTCACATCGATTATATCATGTAATTAGTTGCAGTCTCTCTAAATATAATAAAGTTTCCGTAATACTTTCAAAACACACGGTTTAACCTAAATATCTCTTAGTCTCTCCTAATTCAACAACATCAATAATTATGATCAATCCTTCGAAAAAGTTATCCAAATACATAGTGGGAAATCATCAAAGAAAGGGACTTAGTATCAGTATCTCAAATTAGAAGACACGCGGCCAGGACTCAAAACATCATAATGCACAATATCAATGAAATATTTGGATCTTCCTATTGGTATTACTGGGAAGAGACACCGACACCTGAACATGTTTGCCAAGCTGACACGATTCGTAATAAAGGGTCTTAAAATGTGAAAGTTGAGTAATTGACAGTTTGACACCTATAATTTATCCAAACATGAATGACCTAAACGGAAATGAATGATATCTAGAGATCTAGAAAAACCACTAATAGTGGATGAATGATGATGAAGATGATAGACTCTGATTCTGAATGATGATGATGAAAGTAATAGTGACCCTGTGATTCTGAATGATAATGAAGGTAACAGAGACCTTGTGATTTTAAATTAAAAGGACAACCAGGTAGGGTAACACATAATTCAAGGATAGAGATGGCAACGGTGAAACTTGACCAATACCAGTAATCCGTGTCTTAGAGCTATTGACAAGGATAGTATTGTAAGGTATTTTGGAAGGTGACAACTTAGAGGTAATAATGGGATTACCAACTACATGATCATCAGAAGCCCCAAAATCTAAAATCCACGATCCTACAGTGTTACAGGGAAATCGTAGAATTACTGAAATGAGCTAGGGTGACGGGAGATAAAACCTATTAGACCGCCAACAAACAACAAATCAAAAAGCTAGTGCAAACCGTGAGACCCAGAGGCGGATATGCACAACGGATGAAAACATCTATTTTTAGCCTGAGATCCACACTAGCAGATATGCACAGCAAATGAAAAATAGTGACCAAATACCAAAAACAGTGCAGCCTGAGCTTCTACGACACAATTGCAACGATTAAAAACTACACAACATCAAAGAAATCTCAAAACACCCATCAAATATGGGACCCATGGGTTGTAAGTGGTCTCATCAAAATCAGAAAGGGGAGGCAACCACGGCAAAAACTGGTGTGGCAGGAAGGTGCTCACGCCGCTAGACATCAACTGCAGTGTTGATGGCGTGTATCCAGGTCTCTGAAGGCGAGACTTTTGCAGGAGTGTAGAAGGGGTCTGTTGCAATGCTAAACAATTAAAAATGCTACATGACTAAATTTCCCTCCAACCAAATGCTTCAAATTACTCGGGTTGCCTGGTTAATGGGAAAATTTAGGCTCTTTATTTCTTTAAAACTTACTCGAAAGATGTGCAGGTCTCAACATTCTTCAAATGGTTGTTCAATGAATCCCATGTGTTTTAATGTTCTAGGTCAAAATACCAAGTCATATGGCTTTTTATAGCTGTCAAACTCAAGGGGTCTTTTACTTTTTGTCAATGGTTAAGATTTACTATTCTCATTATTCTCACAATATAGAATATACATGATGCATTTTTATGTTGGTAGGTTTTGTGGATTTTGCTGACATAGTGTGATATTAATAATTGGATTTCATTTTAGGCAGGAATTCTTGGAAACATGCAAAACCTCTTTGAGACTGTGAAGAAGGCACAAATGGTTGTACAAGTTGAAGCAGTGAGGGTGCAGAAAGAACTTGCAGTGTATGGCTGTCTTTTTAAACAATTACAGATTTTCCAGTTGTTTATGTTTGGATTTGACTTGTTACAGAAGTATATTTAAGAAGAAATAAAAAAAATGAATAGGGAGGAAGCTGACACAGTTGTAACTAACTAACTAACTAAGTAACATAAGGGAGTGAAATGTCATATAAATAGTAATGATTAGGAATTTAGGGAGTTGTTGAAGAAGTGAATTCTGTTTGGCAGAATTGAGCTGCTTTTGAATGTTTGGTAGAATTGAGGTACTTTTGAACCAACCCTAGAACACAGTACATCATTCGTTCTTTATGTATCCTTGACCAGATGCATTTAATAAAATTTTCCCATCTTGATTGATTCTGCAAGTTCTACCATTTATTTTCTGATACAAGTCTAGTATTAAAAAAGTTGTTCTGAATGAGATATTGCTCTGGTTCTATTATGCAGGGCTGAGTTTGATGGTTATTGTGAGGGTGAGCTAGTAAAGGTACGATTTTTGTGATGTATATGGTTGTGCCTTTGTTATGTTTTTCCCAGCAGAATTTGTTAGCCTTTGGTTTTTCCTTAAGTGTATGTTTGGATGGAGGATTTTGGAGGTAGAAGGGAGGGCTTATTTTTCTTTTCTAAATTAACGAAGATTTGCAATTTTAGATGGTGTTTTAACAGACGCATGCCACTATTTAGTCGTACTTGTACTTAATGTAAAAATGTTCTTCAACTCTTTGGTTTTTCTATATTTATTTATCATGCAAATTTAGTGAATTACATTACCAATAGGTAGTATGTTAATTGGTATGTGTGGTTTTGTTTGTCAGCTTTTAACTATGATTCTTAGGTAACTCTGACAGGAAACCAGCAACCCTTAAGGACAGAAATCACTGAGGCAGCTATGGAATTGGGATCAGAAGTAAGTAAACAATTAAACTAATATATTATCCTGTCAGATTATATATATATATATTGGATGTTTAAAACAGTAGTAAACACATATTCACTTACTCAGACATAGCAGATACAAATTCTTGATTATTTTTCTTCTGTCTGATAAGAATGGAATGAATCATGTCAAGTTACTTATATTTATTTTTATTCCTTGCATGTGAAGAATAATGTTTTGGTTTGGAACTATATACTAATCATAAACAAATGGAGGTGAAATATCCAGGCTGAGAAACCAAAGTTTGGAATTTTAATAGGAGGGACTAATTAGAAAGTATGACTGAGATTTCCAGTCTGTCTCGTGCGCCAATTGGTTATGGCCACTCGCTAGCCAGGGGCAAAAGAGCAAGAAACAACCTTTAAGAGAAACAAGGTCTCCGGCTGTGTACTTTCACCGCCCCTTTGAATTGATAGTTTTTCTCTTTTGATAAGCCTTTGAATTGATAGTTAATTTGCCTAGATCACTACTATTTGGGAGTGAACATTGAATGTCATGGAAATCTCGAAGTTTTTTCTTTCTTAAAAACTAGGTAGAAATTTGGAAGTTGCTGAATATAATGAATCTTAAAGGCTTAAACTGGGAAAATAGATTGAAAATTCTTGAGACTTCAGTGAGGAACAGAAACCGAGGACCCATGAAGTCCATATACTTCAATTTACGATCCTTCTAAGTGCAGAGTAAGTCATTTCATCTTCCGCTGCACCCTCCGATCTCCACAAATTACCGTAGTCTCCAAGCATCAGTGAGGTTTCAGTTGAGTCTCACCAACATAGATGCACATGTGTAGAATATGTTTAGATAAAATTAATCATTGCTTATAATTAATAATGGTATTAAGATATATAATTAATCAAAGACTTTAATTATGATATAGTGATAGACTGAGGGTGTTGATTATGTTTGAGAACTAGGATGCATTATGGATTATGTTCTTGAATGCTCAGTGAGTATTTATTGTAAAATACATGTGCATTGCAGAAACTTTCGCTTTTAATCACTGAAGCATACAAGGAAGCACACCAGAAGAGTGTCCAGGTAAACATATCTATAAAAGTTTATTTGTTTTTATGGTTATTGAATTGAAAACATGGTTATTGTTTTGTTATTAGGCCATGAAGGAAAGGATGAATGATCTTGCACAGAGCTTAGGGATGCCGCCTGGACTTGGTGAAGGGTTGAAATGATGATATTTTTAAGAGAGGTTGTAATATGACTCGGGCCTAAATTTGTATGCAAAAAATGCTAGATGGATAGGATTAAAATTTAATTTATTTTCCATCTTGGTATTTAAGCCTGGAGTTATTTGCAATTGTGAAGGATTCTCTTTTCTCACTTTTTTATAGACCTTTTTAATTGGAAAAATGTTATGAAATGGAAGGGAATACAATGAGATCTAACAAGGGTAGAATGAAATGATGTCTTCGAGTGAAGAAATCAAACTTTGTTAGACATGGTCTTATCCATGACGAGTCACGCTAATCTTCCAAATTCTTTTTGGAGACATGCTCTATTGAAATCATCTTACACACTTAATCATGTTCTATCCAAAATAATTGAGAAGACACCATATGAAATATGAAATATAAAATATAAAATGGTAAGAGGCTGTATAATACGAAGATTTTGAGGTTGTGAAGTTTATGTGAAACAACATATTTCAATATAGCTTAATCCAAAATTTGATAAATGCTTCTTTACAGAGTATCCTAAAGAAATAATAGATATTACTTCCACGATCCTTTTAAGGGTGGAATGTTTGTCGCTCGAATTAGAGTATTCATAAAAAAAGACTTTATTTTCAATGGAATCATTAGAAAAAAAATAGAGCTTAGAGAAACTCAAGAATCATGAAGTAGTGATACACTTGTGAAGGAATAAGAGCAAGAAATAAAAAAAGTTGTGGAAGATTAACTTGTTTAAGCAGAACAAGACCAACACAGGTCAAATATTATATGTTACCAACCGGATGGATATAAATATCACATAACTAGTCAAAGTGATGTATTACACATGAATTAAGACGAGCATGAGACCTACCAATAGGCTATTACCGGTTATGAGTATGAGAAATGGCTAGAGGCCAAGAAATCTAAAATGGATTATATGCACACAAGCTAGATTTAGATCTTGGTAGAACTTTCGATAGAAGTTAATCTTATAGGATGCAAGTGAGTTATCAAAAAGAAGACTCATATAAGTTATAAAGCAACTGATTCTTATAAGTTATAAGAAAATTTATAATGTAGATTATGATGAACTGTCTTCTTGATAATCACTTTGGTTAGGAGAGATTCTCTAAGTCATATAAAAATATGAGTTGTTAATGGAGACTTAGAACTTTGTCCAATCAAGGTTGAAAGATAATAATCATGAATTTCTTCAAGGCCTGTCTACTGTAACACTGCTATCATCCATCCTCTCAAACTCTCAAGACAACACAAAAGTTTTTCTAAGATTAAACAAGTAAGTCAATGATCTAACAAAGTTTGCGGTTAAGAATGAAATGCCTAACATTCATGAAATAGCTAAAACAAGTAGTTATCTTTGATCTTTGTCTTATTTCATGCTTTAAAGTTTTTTATCTCCCACTTTCTTTAGCTTATTGTAATCAAATCTTTTCCTCTTGTTTTTTAATTATAAGTTTGCATATTTTTACCTATCATTTTACTACAAACTATGTGTTTGTGCTATTTTTTCCATATTTTTTATTATGTCAAATGGGGTAGAAATACTCTAAGGGAGAATATGATATATTCTCTTTATTTGTGAGAGAGAGAGTTTAATTACTTTAAATCTTTACCTTTCAGTTTCTTTGTTTACCATATCTTGAGTGATGTGTTATTATCATAAAAAAAGAGGAGAATATGAGTCTATATAAGTATAAATAAAATCGTTAGTTGACTTTGATGTTAACAACTAATGAATCAACTTTCAAGATAACAACTAAACATCTTTTGGGTTTTGAAAGTTCTTTGCGACAAAGGAGTTGAGTTTAACTGTCAAATAAATCTTCTAATGATGACACCTGATCAATAAAATATCTCAAACCTTATCATTCAGACAATTCAAAAATCCAATTGAAGTGTTAATCAAGTCATTGGATCAAACGGATGAACTTGAAGTCTGAAAAAGAGAATTTCAAAATTTCTATAGTTATTTGATAAAACATATGTAAATGTTTTTCATGTATGTACTTAACTAAATACTATATTGATTAATTAATTAGGAAGTACTTTTCACTTGTTAATCGATTAAAATATTAGGGTTAATTTATTAAATCATCTATAACACCTCTAAATCGATTAATGGAGCTCTTAATCGATTAATGACGGTGAAAGTTCAAAAACTTTTGATTTGTGGATTTATTAATCTATTACCAACTTTGTGGATTTATTAATCTATTACCAACTTTGGTTAATCAACCAAATCAATTAATTAACCCACAAGCCATTTTCTTTTTTGAGCCAAAATATTTTGTATATAATGAATGCTTTTTCTCATTTCATTTTTCACCAAAAATCTGAATAAAAACCTCTCAATATTTCTTTATATTCTATGTGTTTTATGTTTTTAATGAGAGTTGACATAATGCTAAAAGACTAAAAAAATTCTTTATGAGAGTTATTGTAATTGATGTTGTACTTTAATTTTCTCAAGTGTGATTCTTTTTTGGAATTATTTTGTAAAGGACTTAAAAGTTTGCAAGTTAAAATTGGTAAAAATTTAATTGTAGGTTCTTGAGTTTGACTTGTGTAAAAATTTTGTTTATAGGTTTTTGAGCTTTACTTGTGTAAAAGTTTTTTTTGAAGGTTTTTTAGATAAGTCTATGTAAAACTGTCTGTTGGTTCTTGAGTTTAGTCAGTGTAAAAATTCTATCTATTTGTTGTTAAAGATTTGTGCGTTAATCTTGTGAAAAGCTCTGTTTGTTGATTCTTAAATTTAGTCTGTGTAAAAACTCTATACGTTTGGTGTTTAAGATTTGTGGACTAATCTTGTGAAAAACTCAAGTGTGTTTTTAGTGGAATTCTCAAGAGAAGTCTCTTGGGGACAAGAGTATTTCAAATGGTGGTCGAACATGTATAAATTTTTAGTGTACTCTCTTTATATATTATCTCTTCAATTTTTATTCGTATCTGTTTTAATCTCTATTTTCTTTATTTATTTCGGCTTCATTATCTCATAGTGTTAATTTAATTAAATACGATTATTTTAAAAAATAATTTTTTTATAAATTGGTTTCAATTTTTAAAAAACACAATTCACCCCTCTTACGTTTGAAATCCCTTTAACACCACTAACCACCATCATGACAATAATCAACCACCACCCTAGCCACTCTACACCACCACATTAACCACCATCTACCACAACTCCATCCACCTCCAATCACCAATCTAACCATCCATCACCACTATCGACTAACACTTTAATCACCTCTGAGATCATCCTAAATCACTATTAATCTTCAGTACCAACTATCACTATTACGACACACATCTCTCGTAACCACTATTATTAAAATGAATAAACTAAACCTATATATTATACATTTGTATCATTACATTGTCTATCTAAATTAAAAAATTATTATGACTTTTTTTTTTATGTTTATAAATTGTAAACAATATTTTTTAAAATAAATAAAAATCAATATAATTCTACAAATTTAAAAGTCAAAATAGTTAATTTTTTAGATCCCAATCCTAATAAATAACACAACTGAATAAATAAAAGGGCAAAGAACAAAAGGGTTTAAGCGATCGAAAGAAGAAAATCTAGTGAATCCGAGAATGGTGGGAACAAACTTGAAAGCAGAAACTTCGTCTTTAATGGAGAAACGAAGTGCGCTAGAATCTGAAATGAACTCCATCATCGCCCGTCTTTCTCAACCCGGCGCACCCGGCCTTTCCGGCAACCTCCTTGATTCCGAGGTTTTTCCGTTTTCTTCTCTTCCTCACCGCAATACACACTTCAAATATTCAACAAGATGTTTGCTTGGTTTTTATAGGGTTTTCCTCGTTCGGATATCGACGTTCCAGTTGTTAGAGCCGAACGACGTCGCCTTGCAGGTATATAACTATCTCTAACTAGGGTTAAGGTAAATTATGTGCACAAACGAAAACAATAAACACGTTTGCATTTTGCAGAGCTGCGTAATGATTACATGGAGATAACAAAAAAGATTGATCAAAATGTACAAATTTTGCTTTCACCAAGACCACCAAACAATATATCAGGTTGGTGGATTCGTGGTATTCCATTGATAACCTTTGTCTGCAACTTTACCGGTTTCGTATTGCATAGCTTGTTTTGTAACAAGTTGCGGCACTTGATTATACACTATTTATTTATCATTGGCTTATCGGACATGCTTAAAGTAGCTTGTGGTTTTCATAGGCATGTAACTATAGTTATATTTAGGATACTAAAAATCAGCCCTATAGAATAATTAAGACCAGCCTTAATTTAATATCAGCCTTAATTTAATAGAATAAGAAAAGCTCAACACTATAAAATAATTAAGGTCATCCAAGCAGTGCCAGAGCATGATGCTTCTCTCCCTGTTCCTCAGTCCCAGATCACTCCCAATGCTATGATTGCTAACACAACTTCAGTTCCAAGCAGTGCCTGGTTCCCAGACTCAGGAGCTTCTTATCATGTTACCAATGCGTCTCAAAACATACAGCAGACCACACCTTTTGAAGGTCCTGATCAGATCTTCATTGGTAATGGTCAAGGTTTGCACATTCGCTCTTCAGGCTCTTCTTATTTTCCCTTTCATTCTAAACCCAACACTCCATTAGCTCTTCATAATTTACTGCTTGTTCCTTCTATTACAAAGAACCTGATAAGTGTCAGCAAATTCTGTCTTGATAATAGAGTTTTCTTTGAGTTTCATGCTGATATGTGCTATGTCAAATCTCAGGCTACCAATGAAATTCTGCTCCAAGGTCGTGTAGGAAGTGATGGCCCGTACCAATTTCCCCATCTTCAGCTTCTTAAGTCTCCTTCAACAAGTCAAGTCTCATGTCTCACCTTAGCACTAGTGATAGGGTTTCAGTTTCTAATCAAAATGTATCAGCTAATAACTCATATAATTCTCAACATACTTGGCATCTACGTCTTGGTCATCCAAATTCTAATAGTATGAGACTTGTTTTAGCTCAATGTAATATTCCTTATT